CGCGATATATTTTAGTTAAACTCGGTTGATAATGAGTCTCCCCGTGACAACGACTGCAAAGCATGCGAAACGTCCGCCCGTAGTTAAAAATTATTTTCAAACCAGTTTACCTAAAATATATCGCGTTTTGAACCGTTAAAGTGTTTTATTTAAATTAATTTTTAATATTTAACATTCTCAATTAATTATGACTGTTAATTTGTAAGTTCAGGATTTGGAGACATGAATTGCAAATATTATTCTTTTTCTGTTATTTTAGAATCATTTAATAGGTAAGAAGTAGATCAGACTTCTGCGCTTAGCCCGATTGAATATTTTGTATGCCTTTATAACATTTTGCAGAATGCAATACTAGATTTTAGGGAAATACGAGTTCCAAACTATTATAAGGTGGAAATTCTTTTTTCGTAACCAAAGCTTCACACGAAATACGATATCGTGGCATCATACGCCACGTCCGTTATGTGTTTGTAATAAACAACAATGGACATTCGAAGCTGGCAAATTTTAGTGAGGATCCATCGGTTGAATACAGTACTAGGCAAATTGCATTGTTCGTTTTATTGCAAGTGCGAATGGCGGCGCTCGTAGCGGAATTATTTAATACGTAACACCACATGCACTTTATTTTTTCCACTTCTACCAGCGAAACCTTTCATCTCCTGCTGTTCGCTTCGTGCTTAAAAATTAATTCCAAAACTCGTAATGGAATAATTAGCTACCGTAAACGACATTCGCCAATGCGAAGCTTGGTGCGATGCGAATAGCGACGCGTCTAGCGACTAAAACAAATGTATAGCTGTGTTTTCGTCTATTCGCTCTTCACAATGAGCCAGACAAAGCATTGATGTAAAAAACGAGTCAGGAAGTCGCGCGAATAGTTCGCTTTGCTCTGGGTCAACGTGCCCTGGCGTTAACGAGAAATTTCGCTGTCAATATATTAAAAAGTACCCACCTATTTAAATTTTATAGATGGGATGTGTGTACTATGAAACTTTAGCTTGCTTAGCTTTAACTTTTAACTTGAAAGGTACTTAGCGCAGTTTTTATTAATAATATAATAATTTTATTAATAAGCTCTTATTGTGGTATAAATGAGTTTTGTCGTATACGAGGCTCTTGTAAGTAAGTAAGTAAGACTAAGTTTATTTAATTTTAATTACATTTAGTGGTGCTTTTTTAATTTAATTAAATATTTATAATCTAGACTAGATTATGAATATTCAATTAAATTTAAAAAGATACTTTGTTTTATTAGTCCTAATATTTAGAATCACCGAATCTATCTAAAATGGTCAATTCAAAAATGTCTTTCCTATCTCTCGAATACGATTTGCTACAAGTTTAGGATGAGTTGAAAATAAAAATAGCAGGCATTTTGCTTAGAACGACTTTCTTTTGTCGAATTTAAGGACAATGGTCCTCCGATTGCTGCGTCCTGCTGCAGTGCTGCATTTTATTTTAGATAGCCATTGTTTGTTGTTACGGTTAAGCCTGTTCTACAAATTATTGTTTTCTTACGTAAGAAAAGTTATGTAGGTCACCGTTCTTGCATTGAAAAAAATATCCACCCATTGCGTTAGAGATTAAAATTTGCCTTATATATTATCTGTCTTCTGCTTCGTCACCATACAATCATCGAGAGTCCTTGACGTTGCTTTGGCTTTTAGAATAATTTGTAAACAAGTAAATTAATATATTTCACGTTAGTGTTTTATTTAAATATAAAAATGCTTTAATTATATATGTCCTCTATAAGAAATTATTTAAACATTCTTCGATTGTACTATAAATAAATAAAAAACTAAACTAACAAACTTTGCCCCTTTTTTAAGTATAGATAAGAAGTATGTAGATACATAGCATCAATGAAGCGTCAAGATTGCTTTGATAGGTTGTGAAGAATAGCAGCAGCAAAATGTAATTTCCTTGATGTCACTAACACCCTCCTCGAGACCGTGTGCAGACTGCACTATGCGACGTCAGTCCGAGCTAACGTATCGGCTTCGAATCTAACTCGGAATTCAGTCCAAAGATAGTCAGTGGTCTCCTATAAACACCTACAAACGAAAAACTTACAATTATTTATTTATTTGTTTGTCATGATAGGGGAGAGACAAGCATGAGATTGATGGTAGAGGTTTTTCCTTTTTGTACACTTAAAAACAACAAAAAAAAACACTATTAAAACATATTTTTCAAAATGAGTGTGACCTTTTTTCTTATCAGTTACATCGCATATACACACGTAGAGCAATTGTAACTACCGTCGAATCAAAATTAAATACCCCAGTCATATTTTGGCTTCGGATATTCGGAAAGCCATATAGGGTTGACGATTTTTCTATCTGCGGCGGTAGTTCGTGACCCGGGCGGAATTTCTACATTCTTACCTATTTAAAATCCATATTTCCAGACGTCCAACATTAGACAATTGTTGGACCCGCTGGGAACCACGAACTTGAACCCACGGTCCGTTGATTGAGCCATACACTGCTACCAATACGCCAACAAGTCCGCCATAATATATTATATTAATGTAAAATTGTTGTCTCTTCCATATGTCGACTTTGGCATGTGAAAAGGCTTTGTATAGAAACAAAAAGTGTTTTCTCTTTAGTTTTTTTGGCAAACGTCAAAATTTAATTCCAGCATTGTTTAAGGACTGTTGTTCTGCAGGAGACTGTATTTAGCGTTGGTGGCATAACGCGATAATAACAGACTATATCCTTATATAAAACCCCCAAGATGCTTTTGCCTTAATACAGAAACCTAAAATGGATAAGTAGTTTTCATAATGCCTCGCCAGATTGAATCGCATTGAGGTGACATGGAAATGATTTCAATCCGGGCGCTGCGTCAGCATAATCGGAGAAAATACGCCTCCAATTGACATCTTTCCATCTTAAAGCCGCTGGAAAATATTACTGACTTCTTTCAGAGTTTTATTCCCCCGTTATATCTTTTATCCACGTTACTCAAATATCAATTTAAACTTCTAATTATTCCATACCTATTTTTCTGACTGTAGTGTAAAATGAATATAATATTATATTTCAATTAAACCAATTTAACGCGAAATATATTAGTTAAACTTATTTAACTAATACAATTCGCGTTTTAAACCGTTTAACTGTTTTATTTAAATGTGTCCTACTCGCGTCAACTACAGACAGTATTCAATTTTAAGTTTTTTGTATCTACTATAAACTTGTCTACTTTTGGTTGTAAGCAATTGGAAAATTTAAAAGAAATACACAAAGTCTTCCTTGCGATCTATTCAAATATTTGTTTTTGTTTTGATGACTTAAAAACTAATTGTCATAAAGCAAAACGGCATATTAACTCCGGCCACAGTAAGCCTGGTGTCAAACATAATGTTCTAGGTCTAAACCCTCGGACTTGCAAGTTTGATTAGAGTTCCTCTTGGATGGCACTAGGACTCTGCGTCTCGTAAATGTTTATGGCCAGCTTAAACTGTGCAATCTACAGCGTCTAGGATTTCGCGTTTTTACTGCTATGACTGAACTTGAGACACACTTCTGTGTCCGATTTTGCCGAATGGAGCATTTTTATGGAAGTATAACGATGAATCAACGAATCGTAGGTTCGTTTCCCACCACGTCCAACATTTTTCTAATCATTTTATAAGTTTTCCTTATAAATAATATTCCATGAAATAAACATTTGCTCATTGGTAGCAGAAAAAAGTAAACAAGTGACCCGTTTGAAAATTTATCAGCAAAAGCTTTTTGTAGGTTTTGAAGTTGCAGGTACACGGATGGCTGAGCTGTGAGCGGACCCTGGGGCAGCTGAACGTGCTTCGAGTCACTGAACAGAACCGTTGATAACCCATACTTAGAGCTTTAGCCGAAAAACATACCTAATACTAGTTTATAAAAAAACTGTATTTTATACAGACTTTTCTATATTATATCTATTACATCATAACGTTGATAAAGTCAAAAATTATTTTATTATATACACTTTGCCGCCGATTATATTAAAGCACGAAGCCATCACTTGTATTTATTATTATATGCTATATTCAACACGCTGTAGATACAAAAATGTAGATATATATATATATATAAAAAGGTAGATTTTAGCAATAACAAAATAGATTTGCTTAGAGCTTTTTTGATAGTTTATATATATGTACATACAAAAAAAGCTAAAATTAAAAGTGCTGCAGATGTGTTATAAGTTAATAGTAAGTACTTAGGCTTTAAAAAACACACGACCACAGCAATCCGTTTTGTCAAACCAATCTTTTTTAAACTTGATAGCTTATGTATACGTAAATAATTATAATGGAAATGTTTCAAACGTTATATAAACACTAATAAGGTTCTGAATATGTTTGGTTGATCGACTGCTTGGAAATAACCTTGTGTATACTATTTATATTAAAAGGGTAAGGGTAGTCATTAGGCAGTGAAGACTTATTTATAGGGCCTTGCTGTCCTTGTCCGAGTTTCCAACAGATCGGCGGCGGATGAACTCGTTACGAACTCATCTTCGGATGAGCGACCACCGCTCACGGTCCACCAAACGCTTTCAAAGACCGCGGCTACCTATCTACGATTAATAATTTTGTTATGAATATCATCTGTATCGTTTATGGCAGTTATTTATAATCTGTTTGTGTAGCGCGTAATCTGTGTCACAGACTAATGAACCCTTTCGTGCCACATTGGTGAGCAATTCCCGCCAAAAATATATGTAATAAAACTATTAGAATAATATTATAAAATATTAACAAACCTAGTTTAACACTTTAAAAAAGTTAAATTTAAATAAGCTAACTTCATGAATACATTTATAGCATTTTACTATGAATAGGAAAAAATATATTATGTCATAAGTCACTTTGTACTTTGTTTATTGATATGTAGGCATTTTATACAGTGCCTTTTTATTATACATTTATTTAGTTTTTGATATACTTGATTTATACATTTTATATATTTTATACAAAAATATTTTTCTCAACATTTATGGACGAAGACGAAGACTATTACGAGAGCTTGTATGAGAATGGCCATTGGGCATGGAGTGATGAGGATGGACAGCTGCAGTTTATTAGGCTTGTTATTTGTTATACGTTGTTATATAAAAACTTTGTAAAACATTTAATTTCATTATAAGTTTAAATAATCCAATTAAATAAAAAAAAATACATTGGCGGGACAAGAACCGGCATCCAAACATTCATTTATTCATTTCATTCAAAATAATGGCAGCAAAAAATAGAGATTGAATTATTGACTATTATAATTAATGTCCAGTGCCAATAAAATAATTAGTAGATAGGTAAAATATTAAATTACTCTATTGGACAACAAAATAATTTGCAGTGATTTGCCCGAATCACAAAAAAGCTACGATTTACTACCCACTTCGGTTGCTAATCTTGAATTTAAAGATGACGTGGACTTATTAGAACAGGTACAGACTAAATTAAAGTACAGATAATTATAGTACGGTTTTTTTATTATTGTCTATTTCTTTGTTTCAGCAAAGGTTTCGAAAGTACTTGCAAAGAAAAACGGAAGAGATCGACTTTGTTACACTTCAGGTATTTGTTATTTTTCGTACACTACAACTTTGAGTAGGTAGATAAGTAGGTAAACTGGAGCTGAAATATTATGTTGTAGTTAAATATAAAGAAACTATAAAAAAAGTATTTGGCTTGCCCGTTAAGAATGTATTCATTGATATATTATGATAATTAAATTATTTGCAGGATGTGAAAGATATTGTACTATTCACCGCACCAACAACAATATTGTCTCCATCACTAATATGCTTGTTGCATAACGCTACTATGGAAAGATTCCTGAGATCATTGATATTATTTGTCCAATGTTACTTGCAGGTTTCTTCTTTTTAATAAAATTTTACCTTAATAAAAATCTAGAGAATATTATTCGTGAAAGGCATAAATATAAAAAATATAACGTAGATTATTATGTGAGACCCGATTAATTTTAAAGATTCGTAAGCTTATCTTTAAAATTAATATGTAATTTAAATAAAACTACTTTAAACGATTTGAAATACAAATTATATTTAAGCTAATTTGTACCTTTAAGCCATGGTCTAGACCAATACATGTATCGCAATTTAACTTACTACTCGCGTAAACTTATGCAACTAATTATTTATATTAGAAATAATTGTAACTGCATATTTATATAAAGAATAAAGTTTAATCAGATTTCAGATGAAATGAGCAACCGTACACTGGAATTAGAAATGAAAGTTCGCACCGAGAATAGTGATAAAATAGAATTGAAATTCCGTGAAGATCTAGAAGATTTACGACTACTTGTCGCAAAGGAATATTGCATCATTATTCTAGGTACATGCTAAGTTTTATATTGAACTGTTATTCATAAGTTATCCGAAATCCCTTTTTCAAGGTGAAGGAAGTTTAGCGAAGTATCACCATATGGGCGTGAATAAACGACGATCTCTATCGAAAAAGGACGCAGTGTTTTTTGAAACACTTGTTCGAGTTTCAATACAGATTGTTTGGATAGCTGTTGGAAGGAAAAGTTATAATCAAATCGGTAAGCTGGATTAACTGCGATGACACTTAACACAAACAGAGACGAAATAAATTAAAAGGTGGCAATTATCTATACATTTTAAGAAGCTTGCCTAGAAAGCACCTACGGTATGCTTCTAACTCAAACAAAGTCTAACAGTGGGACGTAGATATCAATTTATTTTTTATTTATTGATCTTATTAACTTAATTACTATAAAAACGAAAGTGATATTGTCGGTTTACTTCTCTATCCGTAAACATTTGATTTAAACACTTTGGACGGTTCTAAACTCGCACATTGTAAAAATAATAGCTACAATCTAAGCTAATAGGCACAATTCAAAATCTCGGCGTGAAGTTAAAATTAACGTCTGCAGCTTATGCAAATATATTATTATAATAATTTTATTTTTTCAGACGTTGAAGTGAATCGCCTCTTCAAATCTGAAATATTTAACTCAACAGCCCATAAGTTCAAAATAAATCGCTATAAACACATGAATTCAAGAGAGCGACGTGTCTTATTGGGCCACTGTTTAGACCAAGGGCAGAAACTCAATACGAGATCGCCACTGAGCAACGAGATATTCTGCCATCGCGACGTTGATTTTCGTCAATTCGGTCTTGGAACTGTAAAATATCCCGGGTAAATAATTCATCGCTGTACGCGTCTGATTTTAATAAGTCCTAATTATTTAAATGGCCGCCGCTCGCAGTGTCGCGTCGGTACGATTTAATCGAGTTTCAACTGATTGAGCGCTGTACATTTGTGCATGCAATCCGAAAAATTTACAACGTCGCATTCGTCATTTATATAACAACACTATGAGTATCAGGATATAGTCTATAATCGAGAGGTATATACCAAGATCCAGAGTTCGAGTCTTAAGTAGCAGATTTAGATAGTGAAATAGAATATTTCTAAGACCTACATATTTCGGGGGGACCACATGGTTACGGGGGAGAATTTTTAGCCGACGAGCAGAGTTTACCGTTACTGATTTTTATGATTAATTTAAGGAAAAAATAAAAAAAATTCTTTGTTGGGTAACTACTCTCAGTTTTGTTGTAACCAAATATTCCATGGACCTTACGTACCTTTATATGTTTAAAAGAATCAGTTACAAGAAAATCATGTTCTTCTACATCTTTGTCTTCATATTTTCTCGACAGATTAAGTCGCCGTTTACTTACCTTCGAAATACTTTTAACGCAACCTGAAAAGAGGTTAGCGGAGTTAGGACTCTCACTCGGTATTTTGGGTCTACCACGGTCAAGGTTCGATATTATGTTGCGGGAAATAAAAACTTCACTTACGGGTGCCAGTTCATCTTCAGCCTTCTCTCGACACTCTATAGCACACAGGTTATTATTTAATATTTTACTTAAATTGTTATTTTAAAACCTAAATCTTATTTATGATACAAGAGCGACGTTTTGCTAGGATAGGGATAAATTAATCTTTGTACTAGTACAAAACCACTGACTTCCGTCAAGTAAAACACAATAGGTCCTGTGTTCGAATCATGGGGAAAAAGCAAGGTTAAATATTAAGGTTAAATATATTTATATTTAACCTTGCTTTTACATTATCATTTTTCATTTTTATTATATAAAACTTGATTCTTCAGTAATATAGAATTTAAATAGTATATCTTGACAATTTATTTAATTTAATAGGGCATCAAGACAGTCACGTATGTCAGGCAAGAGTGTCGCCTCTGCAGTTCCAGAGAAACTGTACCCGGACCTATACCTTCCGGAGAAAAGCGAAATCACGTTAGTGCCGCCTTTATTTAATAAAAAAATAGATAATAATTACAGTAAAAAGACACGAATTTAAAGGTAAGTTTATATATATTTAGATATTTTTATAATAGAGCCATATAACATAAAACAGGATGCGCATGCGCATATCGCATTAAATCCACATAATGCATAGACATATCATTATTTATGGTATATATACTCTATATACATGTCACTTTAAATAGCATTAACTATATATCTGGAGGTAAGGAGTATTAATATAAAAATTGTAGATTACTAAACTAACAAAGTAAAGCATTAGAAATAACCCGTTATTTTATAAATCTTATCTTTTAAGGACCGAGTACGACTCTTTTCCGAAAGGTGAAAAGTCCCAAATAATATGCAACAAGGGACAACGCTCAAGATGGCTGAAGTTCGTCGCGATACGGAGAAAAAATAAAATGGCTGTAAAAAAGTAAAACGGTTTTTATTTACGATTTTAAATGTTAACTGTTGTAACTGTTATTAGAATATTTTAACGCCCGTACGGATGCAGCAACTTCATAAGCCTCGCTTGCCAACGTCGTCTCTGGGTTTCACTGCAGGGTCTTATCTCTTCGGGTTCATCAGGAAAGGATGGTGGAACAGATGTACTGAAAAGTAAAGTACAATGAAATTTACTTATGTATGTACTTATACCTTTATGTTACAGTAAGACCCTTTGTAGAGAAAGAGGTTCTTACCAACTACAGACCTAAAAACAGTCTTTCTAAAAGTAATACTTGTAAGGTAGGACTTAGTGGGTCAGAAAATATATACACTTACATTCGGGATTCTCTGCTTGGCAACACGATATCTGGATAGATTTTATGAGCCGTCATCTGACTCTTTCTCATGGTGCTACTAACACTTGACTTTGAAGCGTAGCTTTGGGATCGTGAGGATCTGGAAAAAATATCAACATTTGTGTGAAAAGCATCCGTCCTACAATAATTATGGCAACGGACCGAGGCACTTATGAATAGAGTACAAGGCAAAAGAATCAGATTTAGATATACTTAGACCTAGAAATATATTAAGCAACTGTGTGTACCAAGTAGACCTCTTTTCTTCAAGCCATATATTTAAGCCTGATGTCTAGCAAATCTTGTTTTACTTACACGGAAGCTTTTGACTTTCCTTCAGAGGCTGTCGGCAAAGGTTTCAACATTGTATCGAAGGATGACCGATGCATTCCAATTATACCCAAAACTATGCCGAGTTCCCTTAATCGCTCTTCGGGTCCTGACACAGCCTCCTTCATGTAATGGAGACGGGGTGTCATGCTAAAAATATATTTTATACATAGTATATATTCAGAGTAAACTGACTGCCTCCACAGCTTAATATAATATTGTAATACATAATTATAAGACTTGGGGAAGTATAGGAATTTCAGTCATATGGGACACAGAAATCTGTTAAGCTATAAGTAAATCAACAGGATACCTTTTTAGAAGACAAAGTCTATAGACTGGCATTGCGAGACCAGACAAATGTTCTCGTAATTCTTTAAAGATAGTCGTTGGGTTAAAAAATTGGCAGTTCGAACCCCGGTTGGGTAAGTAAGCATTTGCTTATGTATTAACTGTCCTATATACAATTTGGGGAGGAAAATAACCTGGCAAGTAGTATGTCAAAACTAATGACTCATTCTATCAATAAAAAGTATCATCTTACACAGCACACTTTATAACACCTAGGCCCATCAAACGATAGTCGATGTCTCTATGGCAAAATACTTCATTCATGAGGGGAGAACGCGTGTTAAGTTTCTTGTCGTGTCGGAGGCAGCGGCCCAGCAGCACCGCCCGTTCCTCTTTCACCATTTTGTTTATGTAATCCGTGTGCAGATTGTGTTCAACTGCATTAAATATCTCAGACTTGAAGATGCGGTTAACTTCTAGTTCTAGATAATAATATCTTATTACTGAAACTATATAACGGGCTCCGTCGGGTCGTGGGTTCATTTTTCACCGGGTCCTACATAAATATATTTCATATTATAATACTTTGTCATAAAAATGTTAGACTATGTAGAGAAAATAGCAATATTGAATGAGTAGTATGAAACGAATGTCCTTCGTTACGAATCAGATAAAAAACCCGTAAAGTGTTAAACTGCGTTTTGGTATTTGATTAGATGTTATAGGTGTGTAGTATTTTACTCCTCTAAGAGAAAGCCAATCTGTCTTTCTCTGTTACAAAAAAAATAAAATTAATATTCATGGCTCTCACTAAAACAGTTTCTTTTAGAGTCAAAACAAATAATGTATTGGGCCACCAATAATCAAACGAAGAAGTTCGGGTCTTGATTTATAGTTGGGCAGGAACGAGATAAAGCAATCGATCATTTGGGTACCTATCTGATTGAAAGACTTGCGACCGAGGGCCAACCACACAATTTGAACGCACATACGCAACAAAGTTTCGAAAAGTCGTGCGTCTTTGTCTGATAACGATCGACGTTTCTTCTGTGGTCCCATATGATGGAACTTTTTCATGTCGCCTCCACCTGCATACGGCTTTGGTTAAACAGGGTATAAAATTAGACAATGCATTATGAAAATCTCAGGACTAAGCTGGAGTCTAAAGTTTAGTTTTTTTTTATTTATATTCCTGCATACTTAATTCATACAAAATTTATAGACTGAATAAGATGTCCCTTTTTTTCAATATGCCGTCGTCGTCGTCGGGTCGTAAGATCGGTTAATAAAATAGGTCCATACGAACCAATAAGCATTGCACTATATTCTTTAGCGACAAGTAATCTTAAGTCGGACAAGTTGTCCCGAAATTCGCCTTCCAAGACCTCGCATTGGGGCGTCCGTACCTTCGTTTCTAATTCAATTATACGGTTGGCCATTTCATCTGCAATCTTAAAATTCAGAGCTCACGAAATAGCACATTTTATGATTTTAATTTTGCGCGACCTTCCTTACTCGTACTTTATACAATGTCTAATGTATAATGATGCGTTTGACAATTTGCATTAGGAAAAGGGTAGTATTCAACAGTTTCTGAATCTATTAGCCAATCATTTATTATTTCATTTTTCAAATACTGTATGTAAAAATAAATAAGTTATAAATATATTACTTTTTTTTAAACCTTATGTGACATGTAAATGTGACGTTATATTATCTATAAAATGAATAATTATACTACAGACGACATTATCTGTAAGTAGTAAACCTTACCGAAAAAATAGGGTAAGCTATTAAAACTATCCTCCTATATCAAGCAAGAAATGAGGATACATTTTTATTTACCTGTAAATAATACTGACAACATAGAACAAGCGCTCTAATGAACCTCTCTGTAGTAGGCAAATGCAAAATGTTTATTAGCACTGGGCTTAAAATGTTAACTGGTGCTGTATACAATGCGATATCCTTAACGTCCTGTGAAAAATGTGTTGTTTTAATACATCCCATAGGATATTACAATAGATAATCATATGCACCTACTTGTACAGTAATAACTTCAGCTTGACCCGGTTTCAGCTTTCTTTGGTAACGTCTTCGAAACCGTATCTAAGACAATGTCAAAAACATGTAGCAGATACATTCTCTTGTGGGGTTAATGATCAATTATGTTTTGTGAAAGGATTTTTTTTTTACTGGGTGTGTTAATCTAACTTATTGTTATTTACAAATCAGCAAGTGGTATTCTGCCTGATTAAAACTATATTCTCCAGGATGTAAAGCACTGCGAAGTACAAACGGTCTTGACGTAATTATTGATACATCATTTGTTTTGTACCTGCTCTATAAGGTCTACATCATCTCTAAATTCAACAGTGCCAGTCGGCGCCTTAATAGGAATATGTACGGCTTCGACCGGCTGTGGTGGAAGATCACTGTAAAGTTAAGCATAAGTCAACTCTATATCTCCGTATCTAATGAGCCAAAACTGTATAGTTCAATTCATTGCGATGCTTATATTTGTCTTCGATAGATGCCACGTTCTAACACACCAGCGGAGCCGAGAGCGTATTAGGAGATGACTTCTGTAAGATGAATAGTACCGTGTTCTGTACTACCGGAAAATAGTTTTTAGAATGTACAAATAGATAAATATTCTGCACACATACTTACACCACTAGACAAAACGGGTCTATTTAATTGTATTAAATATACCTTATAAAAACTAAAGCTTCCGTTGATTCATCCCAGACCCAGTGACCGTCTTCGTACAAACCACCGAAGCCTCCCTCATCGTCATCATCCGCCATGTTATCTTAATTCTATATTTAAATTACGCATCGTTAAAACTATTTTACAAAAAAAACAATGATATATAAAATGAAGTGTCAATTCGTTACCGATATGGAAGATTAATATGTGACAGGATTACGTCAACACAATTACTAGTCTATTTTATAAAAAAAGTATTTTAGGCAGATTGAAAAATATTTATTAGGGGACTAACTAAGGGGTTACAGATAATTCATTTTTTATTAAGGTAACGGTAACAATTTTCCATCGACCAAGATTTGATTGAGTAAGAAATACCTGTGTTAGATTTTAATAGATATTGCATATCACTTAAAAATTATATCACATTCTACTTTACGGACACTAAGCATTGATCGCACAAGTTATGATGTTGTAAATTTACGATTCAATTTATTTTATTCTATCCGTGCAAACTTTGAACAAACTCCTATTTTCTTAAAACTGTCGTAATGCAATTCATAGTCAGCAATAACTTGTGATACGAATTTTCATCGCCATGTTTGTAACTTTAGCAAAATTTACGATGTCACTGGTAAGTTCTCTTCGACGCCACTGAATATAAAGTTATGTTAATTTTACCAAATCACTGAATTTTTCCAGGGCGGACATGAGGTAGGTAGGTATGCAAACTTTGTAGTAATGGCTGTTTTTATCCAAAGTTAGTTTCATTATTTTCTTCTTTTAATAATTATTACCCGTCTTTGTTTACTTAAATACAAACGAAGGATTATTAAAAACATAGGATTGTCTAGCATGGCGCTAAGAACCAGAAGTTTGTGTAATAGACCGATTAATTATAAGAAATTATTTTAAATTACTGGTAAGAGAACCAGAGAAAAATCTTTCCCCATGTTTCCCATCATATACAGTAAGACCGTCCGTTCCCTCGCTGCTACCTGTAAGCTTTCTGTTACGTAAATGTTATACGACAAATGCGCTGGTTTTGTATAGGGGAGCTGAAAAGATCATTTGGAATAGAAAATACCCTCAAAGGGACAAGGCAGTGTCAACGTGTGCTAATTCATTGAATTCGTGTTCACAGCCGATTGCTCGCATTAAGGCTGCGGCAATGAAGCGCTTTGATCATGTTCCTTGTACCATGCTATCAAATAGGTCTTTACTTAGCGCATCGTTCTGGCAAATATACGGAATTTAAAGTGTTACATCACGCTCGCGTGAGTTCCTTAAAACCTCTAATCCCAAGGCGTTTATGTGGGTAGGTAAAAAAATATTGTGGGTATATTTCGTGTTTTAATTGATAGTGTTTAATTTAAACGTTTACTACTCGCGTAAACTGGAGACAATACGTAATAAGACATATTTAATGTCCTTACGAAAAAAATTTATGTAAGTAATTTGTCCACCAATACAAAATATTCGGTGCACTTATGTTAGAACCTTCCTCTCATTAAGGGGTGTATATTAATACAAAGAGGACACACTGTTGGTTTCTAAAAACGTTACGTAATTAGATTACAGGTAAATAACAAAAATTGAATTTGATTATTCTTTTAATTAACGGTATTACTTACAAAACAATATAAACATTTAATGATTGATCAGTCACTACAAACACAACACTACCTTATTTAAGTTTTTTCTTTAACAATATTTTCGCTGTTGTAATTTTGGAAAGTTTGCTATGGTTAAGCGTTAAAAAGTAATAATAATATGATACCCAAAAATAAAATACACCTGAAGCACAGTACACAGATGTCAGCATTAAGGGTAAGAATGGTAGAGTTTTGTCAATTCCTAAAAATGAGTGCAACATATTTTCATACAAATAGAGAGGAAACAACCCATATAAATACAAAGTTTCAAATACATTCATCATTGGCAGTAAAAAGAAACTCCGTTTTCTATGCTTTTTAGACTTAGGATCCTCAAACAATGTTGGAATGTTAACAAAACCTAAAGCACAATGTGTTACCAACAGAAAAAATTTAATTGCTGCAAGGTTTTTAGGGTATAGCAGTGGAAACAGTGAGTAATGGCCAACAGTTGATAAGAATAAGAAAAACTTCCCATCTTCTTGCCCCAGCACCGAAAGGAAACTGGAACAAAAATGATTATTAAAAACAATATCAATTAATTTATAACAGCGATGCTTCCAAATGAGACAATGCATTTAATGATCATAAATAATTATTGTTTAATTAAAAATACCCAACCATGAAATAATATATAATCATTTTTTATACAGAATATATATTTTATTCAAAATAGTAGAATTATGTTGATCTCACCTTAATGGTATTAACACCATCAAAATTGCTTTCTCGTGAACATGCCAGCCAAACATAAAGGAACACATGGCACATATAGTAATACATCTGAAAACCATAATATTATAAAATATAATTAAAGTTGAAGACTAGAAATAAATGGGGTATCTATTATATTTCACCTCACAAAACTAATGCCCCGAGACCTTGTATCTGCCCCAAGATGCCAAAGTTTAATTAGTGCTGGTAGCATTGATGCAATAGTCACAACAAAAGTTACGCTCGGTCTTATGGATGGCAGCACTGAATGTTCAAACTCCTGCACTAATCCACCAGTCATTGAGGCAACATCACTTGCAACATGTCCACCAAACTTTTTCACTTAAAATAGAAAACGATTTGAGCTAATGAAATTTTTAAAATAGTTCTCTTTGTAAACAATTTGAAACTTACTTATTATTTGCAAAGCCTTATCAGCAAAGTTATACAAAGCCCAAAAATTTGGTGCCCAATAAGCATGGCAGAGTCCTCGTTTGAATGGGAACAACCTTGAAAATAACTGTTGAATATATGTTAAGAAGTAAACCATTTAAATTTATTAGAAAAACATGAACCAGTTTTACCTGTGGTAAATGTTGAATAAAAGGTCCAAACGAGATTGCAAATATACCTATTACCACTGCACCCAATTTTACCAGATTTGCAAATGAAAATGAGTACCATGCAGTGTGTATACCATCAGTAGAAGAGACAGTAAAACAGTAAGCCCTCAATAAATATATTACATACACAGGGGCAATGTACATAAAAATATGTTTAAAATTCAACAAAATTGCAAACCACAAAGCAGCTCTGATGTAATCACTCTGAAACGGACAAACTTAATATAAAATCGTATACTGTCTAGTTTACATGAGTAGGACACATTTAAAAATGTAAATAATAAGTTTAACTAATATATATCATTTCATTTAAAGAATATAAAATGTACTCAAATATATATAAGAATTAAAAGTAGACATTTACCTTAATCATGTATGCTACCGAGATGAGCAAGAAACCAAACAAAAATCCATTATATTGGAAATGTATATGATCCACAATTAACAAACCAGGATTTGATATCAACAAAATGAAAACAAGCAGTTTGCCATTGTCTAAAAGATCTGCACACCTGTAAATGAAAAAATAAAATATTGAATAACTCATAACTCTGCATTAATAAAAAATTGTTTAAAAAGACATTACTTTTTTACACTATAAATATATATACAATCCAACATGATGACAGATGCTCTTTGAAATAAAACAGTTGCTTCAGAAGCATAATTTATGTTCTCAATTTTCAACATCTCTGGGTCAAAATATTTTGCTATATGAGACAAACAAAATTCAAGCCACGCGAATAATGGTGGATAGTCTAATGTCCATTCTGATGTTGTTTCATAATACCATTCATTTACAGATTTATTATGAGTGATGGCTAACCAGTTCCTATGTACTTCGAAGTCTGTAGAGCGGCTGCAATAGTAGAATGGAATTTGATTAATAGTCTTAATGGGTGCTTATCGAAGTTAGTAACTTATACTCACTAAAGCGGCATAAACAGCAACTTTACCGCGCTTACTATCAGAGTAATTTGAGATATCATTGCTTAAGAACTTGCTTAACAAATCTAGGAATATTTATATATATAGCTCTTTAATGTTAAAACTATTGTTACGCGGAGTTTAAAAAAGAATATAAATGCATAATAAAGGAATGGTTATTACAAATAGTTATACATTCAAATCTTAAGCTTTTTTGCAAGTTGAATATTTTAAATACCCATAGCAAAATCTGAAAAACCAATTGAAAACACTGTACGTGTTTTATGTGAAAACAGTTGTCATTTGTCAAAGCTGATAGTAAGATAGTGATTAGTGATTCTTATTAGACAGCTGCTCTCCTAGCCATTGCTGAATATTTTACAGATGTAGTAAGGAAGGGAATACAACAATGTTGTAATTATTACACATCTGTACATATTACAGATAGCTTTTACCTATGCTGCCAGAATTTGACAATTGACGTGAAAGATTGACATGATATGTAATATTTGTATTGTACAGTTTTGTATTTATAAAAAATAATTTCTATAAAAATAATTAAGCCTTACAACATAGAAATAGTCCTATATAAATATTTGATCTGTGCGAGCGTTTGTGTTAATTTTATTTCGTTTGGAAATTCTTTAATATAGACCGGATATGGCGATACTTCACAGGGCACTTTTCACATGGTTTATTTTTTTGGTGTTTTTAATACTCCTGTGCTTGCGACTAGAATCGAGGACACATTGGAATTGGTTCATAGTTTTCATCCCGACGTGGGTTTATGATAGCATACTGTTAATATACGTAATATTTCACATGGTCTCTCACTGCAGAAATGGTATTGAACGATTTCGTGGAACAATAAATAAAAACGTCTGGTATATTGCTGCTATAGGCCTGAAAATGGCAGCTCAAATCATCATTTGTATTAAATTAGAATATACAAAAATAAATCTTCCTATATATGTAGTGATGACTCCCATTTGGATGCTGCTGCCAGTTTTATGCGTAGAAGTTTTTATGCATCTTATAAAAAACTCTAGTAGAAGTAGCAGATACTAAACACACTCTACATGCTAGTGACAGTAATGAATGCATTTTATTAAAGATTACCATGTGACTTTGAGAGATAATTTTAAACTTGGCACTCGTCCACTGACATCAGTAATGTGTTTGCACAGTTATGACAAAGTTTCAGTCATATTATGTGATATAATAATCTTTACCTTATAAGTAATTTAGTTTTTATCAAACTAATCAATCATGAATATACTACCTGATGTGAAATCTACTATCATAAAAGAAGTCCCAGCAGGATCAACAGCTGTTTTGAACTGTAATAGTAATGATTACCAGCACAATTTTATGTTCTGGTTGTTTGACAAAAACCTTGTCATTGGGCCTGGAAATAACCATGATGAAAAGAAGTTTAAGTATGAAGTTTTGTCAGGACGACTGCATATCGATGTAAGGCTTTAGTTCTTCTAAAGACTTAAATCTATTAAATTATAACTTAGCCTTACTATTTACTCTAAACTCTAAACATACTTTTCTTATAGAAGGTGACCCCTGCTGAATCTGGCTACTATAAATGTGTGTCAAAATCTCTCGATGGATCAGGAATATCAGTTGGAGAAGTAGAAATGGTAGTGAAAGGATCAACATTCTCATCTATGGAGGCAGTGAAACTAGTCGCCATTGTGATGTCTATCCTTGTGATTATTACCTGTGCTGTTATTTACTATAGGTTAAGGAAACAATGGAATAAATATGATGGACGGAAAGTAATACCAGGTAAGATCTAGAAGTATGATTTAAATCCTCATCAACCAGCTGGTAACAGTTCTCATTGCTAGAACACAACCTGTGTTGTTTGAATTTACCAGGCTGGTTTCCCAAACAGCGTTTAACAGAAATTTTATTTATTATATTAAAGTATCTAAAGTTGTGTAACTTAAACATAAAAATGAATGTCTCTGTAGAATGATAAATTAAAAAAAGGTAACATCTATTTAATATGATACATACAAAATTATAAATGTGATACATTAATAAGTGTGTACATAAAATATTCATTGCCTGCATTTATTTTTTCAGTTGATGATACAGAAGATGAGGATGGTGATGAAATTTACAATCAAACAACCACTACTCTTCCAGAGCCAGTCCCTGGTCCCAGTAGAAATCAGTCTTCTGAGCAGTTAATATATGGAATTGACAACCAAGGGCTGGATACTGATTTTAACTCAGTGTTTGAGAATATTCAAATAAAATCTCCACATGCCAGTTTAATATGATTGTTGTAGATTAGAAGTTAGTGCCTAGTGATTCACTGAACTTTGTTTTGTTTCTTGAATTGTAGGAAACAATTGGTATTCATACATTTTAGAGTAAATTAATAAAAAAATAATTGTGTAGTATAAGTAAGTTTTTGTACAACAGGTAGCCTAATGTGTATATATATTTAATAATACCTCCTATTATTATTGGTTATTCCAAGAAATATATTTTACATTATATTTAAAATTTTAAAAAAAAAATGGGCAGAGATACCTTTTATTTTAAAATGAAATATTTTCCCTAGTGTCACTTCTGCCAGGTGTTGCATGGCTAGTGTCACTTTGTTCTAAACTTGATTGTGCTGTTTTATCAAATATGTCATCATCCTCTTCTTCACTATTTGTTTCTGTTTCAAAAACTTTTACTTTCCTTTGAGTATTTGATAAAATAACTGCTACTTTTCTCGCTCCGGAAACAGCTATTTTATGCCCATTCATTTTGTCCAAAATTTTATATACACTGGAATCTAAGTAAGCAGAAAGATCTACTTTTGGCATATCTTCATTAAATATTATATTCTTACACTTCATACTAAATTCCTGAGAATGTTCGAGAGCAATTTTTAAAGGAAGTTGTACAAATAAGGTGCTATCGTCCTCATAAGGGTGTTTTAAAAGCATTGACAAATATTCTGAAGAATAGAATTGGAGATCTAAAATCTCTAGCCTTTCGTCTGATTGTTCATTGTTATCAATTATTAGACTTCTTGAAAAAATATATTCGCAAGCTGTTGCAGAACACAATCTATCATTTACCCTCACAGACATTAAGTAGAATCCTTGAAGAGGTAACTTAGTGTTTACAAGAGCCATCATAAATCTTTGTTGTTCTTCATCAAAAATCTGGGATAGTTTAAGGTTTTCTTTCACATTTAAATCAATATCACTATCATAGCATTTAATGTTATAAAAAACTGAGATATTCTGTGCAATATCTTTGTGGTGAATATTGAAGACTTCTTCAATATGATGAGTCATATGTTTTTGTTGTTGTATGAGAGAATACTTTTTGAATTCGTCTATTGAAAATATTGTATCGTTTTCTTTAGATAAACAAGCATTTTCCGTAACAATTTTATTCCAAGGATTTTCTTCGTCGTCTGGAAAAATAGTTAGTTCTTGGTCTTGTAAATATTGACCTAACCGTTCTAAATTAAATTTTATAGGCTTTTCAGATGTACTATCATTGTTTTCTTCATGAACATTGTCGAAGTTGTACAAAAAGTCTGCAATATGTGTTAATTCCTGTTGTGTTATTTTTACTATTTCACTTGGTGTTTGTTCATCAAGTAAGCGCACTATTACAACAAACAACCAACGAAAAAAAGCTTTATAGTTTCTCATTGATACATCAATAACTTGCTGCAACTCAAGACACTTATTCAAAAATGCAAAGCAACCTCTTATTGCTGCAGTCACTTTATGTTCGTCCAATCCCAACACCTGAAATTTTAAAAGTTAATAATGCATAAGTACCAAGTAAAAAAGATTTTTACTTAGTACTTTTAAAAATAAAAATAAAACCTTATATCTATCTGGAATTCGAGCAAGACCCCTTAGCTGTGATAGATGATAGACAAGATTTTGACCAACTATATTTAACTGTTTCAGAACTAATTTTTGTATAGTTGAATAGCTTAATTCGACCGAACTCCCAAACTTCTTTAGACCTTTTGCTGTTAAATCTCTTAGTAAAAATCTCTCTAAATCATCTGAAGGTACACCTGAAATTGATAAAATTATGATTAATTTTTTTTGTAACATAATATAATAATCCTCATCAATACCAATTTTAATATTGTCTTACTGACCTAACATTAACAATTCTAATAAATCAGCAGAAACACCTCCTTCAGGAACTGTTGATGCATACAGTGCCATTTTTGTATCCATTTCTAACAAAATATGTTCCCAAGCTTCTGTTACTGCTTTCATTGTTTTATTAAGGTGTGTAAGCATTTGATATATGCGCCCTTGTGTGTTTGCTATAACTGATAATTCTTCAGAATATGCTGACAAAATACTTGTATTTGCAACCGAAACCAAAATTCTGTTCGTAGATCTTTCTATAAAAAGCACTTGCATGATACTAAAATCATCTGATAACTGTATGTCAAGCACTCCATAGTCGCCTTGTGGATCATTAGTAAACTGCGACAAGTGAATACTTCTATATGGATATCTCCCAAAAACACTTAAAAATATATTTCCAGTGCCATAAGCAACCATCAACAAGTTTAGTTGATTAAATTGATCTGAATTATCTTTGAACTCCATTTCACTTTCATTAGAGCTCTGATTTTTGTAGGTGACATTTGGTAATGGTGGTTTTAATAGGAAAAGACAAGAGTCATCCTAAAAATAGAATTAGATATTATTATATATAGCTTTAATGGAAAAATAATTAACCATTTAATTAAGCAACACATACATAGAGATTATATTCAGTAGCACTTTCTAGGGTACCCGACTTTACAGCCCAGCGTATACAGGTAATACCATAGTTTTTGAACTTTGACTGATTCTCACATTCTTTGCCAAAATCATAGTTATTAATAACTGACTTATCCTCAATATCAATGATATACACACTGCCATTGTTATAGCCGATTGCTAGAGCCTGAAATTTTTTGACAGTTATTAATTTAAAGAACATGAGAAATATTGAAGACAGTCTGATAGATTTTTATTCATACCTTGCCATCAGGTCTCCAAGCCATTGAATCAACTTTAGTATTTTCTTGAGGTGGTGGTAAGGTCCATACTTTTTGCCAATGCAGTCTGTGTACTTGAACTTCTCCTGCAATTTCGCAAATTAAAGTTACTAGTATGTTTGATAGAAATTGTGCATAATAAATCTGGATCAGTACTTACCCTTAAAGTTGCTAATCGCTATTAAATCTAAACGGTGACTCCATACCATAAGTTCTATCTGATTGGCAACATGCCTCTCTTCCATTTGTCGCATACCACAATTATACATTGTTTTATAGTTTATGTCAATTAAGTTGACAAAAATTGGTACGAGGTTTGACCGGTTCGGGTCTAAAAATATGTATAGCGCTGATAAAGCTTAGATTATTACTGTATTTACAATACCGCAACTATATTTGCTTGAGGCTAAAAATTATTATTTTCACTTATAATAATATTACCTTGTTAAAAAGTTTAAACTTTAAACAAAAGTAAACAAAATTAAACGGTAGCAACAATGATATACATTGACATATAATAAAGATCATAAATTTATGATTGTTGATAGTTGACAGTGACATTTGCCAATGCAGAAAATTTTTACATCTAACATCTGTGGCCTGTTCCAAACACTCAATTTATATACCCAGAAAAACCCAAAAAAGAGACACTCAGAATTCGGTCTGAATGATTGGACATACACAAGACTTTTAGGTTCCTGGAAAATTGAAACTTACTGCAGTTTAAAGTAAATAGGGACATTTTTGGTAGTACTTATTTAAATATATTATTGACTACGCTACTCTTAGTTGTAGCAATTGAAAATAATGGCTTCACCTTTGGAGCAGTTTGTGAACAATGTACGGACGATATCTGCATCAGGTATTTACTTTATTAGATTTAACAGAATTTGTTTATTTTTTACACCATTTTAAATAATATAATCGAAATTTATGGCACATACTTGAGCTGTCTTCATACAATTCGCATTAGTTTTTGAACAATTTATTTACAGGAAATTTTCGTGAATTGTGTGAAATTATATCCAAGTCCGATGAGGTACTTCAGAGGAATGGTGCTCATTTAAATACAGTTCTAGAAACATTGGATATACAGCAACATTCTTTGGGTGTTTTGGCAGTTCTTGTTGCAAAGTTCTCTCTGCCGCAGGTAAATATTTGTGATTAGTAATTATTTCCCTCCCATTATGTTTACTGAAGTGTTATTATAATTGTGTTGCTTACATTCCAGAGTTCTAATGATGTGGACCGGTCAACAATGTTTCAGCAAATCTGTGATTTTATAAGTAATTGCAATGGAGAACAAGTTCGTTTTTGTCCTGAATTATGTAAGTAATAAGCCAAAAAAAAGAATTGGACCTCATTTTAAAACGTTTAATTAACACCTGCTATGTCATAAAAATATTAAAATTCTTCCTACATTTTTTCCAGATGCTGATTTGTGCCACTTGCTTACTGATCATTTAGTTGAATTGAAGCAGCCAATTCGTGGTATTGAAATACTAAAGAAAGCAATAAGAAAAATACAATTATTTGATTCCCAATTAACATCCATACATGCTGATTTATGTCAATTATGCTTACTCTCAAAGTGTATGAAACCAGCTCTTGAATTTTTAGATACAGATGTAACAGGGATAGGAACAGAGGTAAAAGACCTGCTTGGTCTCCCACTACATCGGTTATGGCAAATATGATTAATGATGCAGCTGTGGATTCAACTTTTATCTAAAAAGGATTTTAAATTGTATTAATCTTAGGCTTTCACATGCATGATTAATCATATGTTTTATGTAATTCAATTTATAACCTAGTTAACTACTAATATTAATTGGATTAATGATAAAAAATTTATTTACAGCTTGGAGGAAATAATGACTCTAAACACTTCTTACTTTACTATTATTATGGAGGAATGATATACGCCGCTCTAAAGAACTATGAAAGAGCCTTGTACTTTTTTGAAGTTGTTGTTACAGTCCCTGCCATGGTTGTATCCCATATAATGCTCGAAGCTTACAAGAAATACATTTTAGTTTCACTCATATTACATGGAAAGGTAAAAAACTTAAAACATGGAAATGGTCAATAGGTTCCGCAGTCATAATGACTTATGATGATCTCAATTTCAGATTTTACAAATGCCAAAGTATACTTCACAAGTTGTGTGTCGGTTTCTAAAGCCCCTCTCAGTTGCATACCATGATTTGGCTAGATCACAACATGCCGCTGTTAAACACAGGGAAACATTTCTAAGAGACAAAAACATGGGTCTAGTCAATCAGGTAATGTTGTAATGGTTTTTACATACATTTAAGCAAAATGAAGCCAAATACACAGATATTCTTGAAATATACATTTTATTGATTACTATTTTCAGCCCTGTAGCAGTGGTATAAACACTCTTAGTACTAGAAAAAAACAAACTGATACATAAAATTTCATAAGCCTTATAATTGGGAATTTATCTGTTGCAATAATATATTGATAAAACTTAATACATTGTTTATGATCTTTTACAGGTAATTAACTCGATGTATAAGAAAAATATACAAAGGCTTACAAAAACATTTTTAACTCTATCACTTAGTGATGTTGCCTCGAGAGTCCAACTCTCTGGACCTGTAGAAGCCGAGTCATATATTTTGAACATGGTAAGTATTATATTTTATTACTTAACATCTTATTTACAAAGATCGCATTAAAACCTTGTTAAATTTGTGGGAATGGGACGAACCCATTTCTGTGCCCGTTTTACTGATAGGTTTTATTTACGGGAAGTAGTTGATGAGACTGCTGTTCTCTGCCCGACCGAAACCAATCTATTGTTTCTTTGGGATTTGAAACCAGGACCTCTCAGGCTTAACGCAATGCTAGGCAACACATTTAATTATTAAGCCACAAACGCAGTCATAGGTATATCTACTACCTTTCTTTTCGGCTTTGCCATAGTCTGGTAATATTTGGTTTTTAGAAAGATATTTCTTATATTGTTAATCACAATATATTATAGATTGAAGAAGGCGAGATCTATGCTATGATAAATCAAAAGGATGGAATGGTGGTGTTTCTTGATAGCCCTGAAAAATATGCCTCTCCAGAGACATTGTGTGTGTTAGAACAACAGATGGCTGCATGCACTAAACTACACCAATACATACAAGAAATGGATGAACAGATACAAGTTAATCCTCAGGTTTGTTCAAAATTTGGCATTTAGCGTCAGACTTGACGAGTTAATTTTGTTAAAAAACGCTTTGTTTGCTTCTATACTTGCATTTAGCTCGACTTTGATTCAGTGAATTTTGGTCAGGCAGACATATTATTCCTGCTTTATGATTTATATATAAACAGAATTTATGAGCTTCACACAAGTTATATTTGATTATTAATTTATTTGTGTCTAAAATATTTTAACTCTTACTTAATAAACCAATGTATCTTTTTTAGTATGTTAAGAAATCAGTTGGGTGCCATGATGAAGACATGCCAGCGACAAGTCAAAACTCAAAAACAACATATACTATGTAAACTTTAATGTAAGCACTTAGTGAATAAACATTTCAATAAAATTACAATAAACAATTCCATCTACCCATTTATTAACATATAATAAATTGTATAAAAAGTATTAAGCAAAGATCATATATCTTATAAAGACAAAAATTATAATAACTGATGCCATTATGTAATAGGTAGGAGATTAAGTAACTACAAAACAATTGTAAATTTTGATTCCAATTTTATGGTATCAGTATTTTATAGTTCCAAAAATTCCAATGTTGATTTATAATGCTTCATGGACAGCTTCTGTAAAAGCAGTCATGCTTTCTAATGGTGTTTGTGGTGTAATCCCATGGCCCAAATTAGCAATATACCTTGTCTTGCCAAACTTTTGAACCATTTCCTTGGTTAGATTTTTTATCTCTTCCTAAAACAAAAAAATATATATATAAAAATAAAAGGTGAATCACACCAGCTTATCAATATGAGTAAGCAACATACAGGAGATTTATACAGGTCTTGAGGATCAAGGTTTCCCTGTAAAGTTATGTTGTCCCCTACAACCTTCCTTGCTTCAACGGGATCTACAGTCCAGTCTAAGCCGATTGTTTCATATCCCATAGTAGCTTGAATATCCAGAGAATGTCCTCCACCCTTGGCGAAAACTGTCTGAAATATTTAGGCACAGCATTAATAATTTATTTAAATTGGTCTAGGATCTATGAACATTAAAAAATTTAGTAAGTTTGTTATAAAAAAAAATGCATCAATATACCATAGGAACTTGTTCTAAAGATTTTTCTTGTAGTTTCTTTTGTACACCAGTCCTAATATCCTTTAGATATGGTGCAGAAACTTCTGCAAACTGCTCCCTACTTAGATGATCAGCACTTGATTCAAAAACTTGTAATAATTGTGCACCACTATCTACCTATAAAAATAATAAATATTCACAGCAAAACTATAGCATGTGGAATACTAAATAGTTATACATATGTTTAGTATAATGTTACCTGCATGACAAGGTAATCTATAATTACTCTTGTAAGTAAACTAAGAAGTCTATGAACATCTTTAGAGTGTTTGTCTAACCATTCCTTTGTTTTAGACATAGTTTTACTTCCACCACCTTCAATCATATATCCCATGAGTGTAAACTACAATTTAAAAAATATTAGTGTACCTCACCTTTTTTGAATTCAATACAATTATTATTGCCCATTTATATTTCAAGGTATCTTAAATATCATATAATTCTTTATATCCTGCATTTAGCAAGGTTAAACTAATTGCTCAGAATAAAAACAAATTAAAATGGGATTGAACAAAGGATCTGTGCTTTACATAATCTAAGTGTCATTAAATTACTGAAACTGGCTGCATAACCTGAGGATCATCATTCGTATCGCTCTGGATGGAGCAAGTGGTAGCCAAAAAGTTATTCTCACAATCAAGAGAAAGGTGTATATTTTTTGTTGCATACAAACTAAAATAAAGGACATATGAAAACTCTAATTTAATTCATGCCTATCCTGGTCAATACTTACAGGTGCACCAGTAAAACCTATTAAGGGTACTTTTCCCTCAATTTTATGCCTTGTTAATGTAATCGCTTGCCCAACATATAACAGTCTAGAAACAGCACCTTCTTCTTGTAGCTCATTTATTTCAGATGGACTGGCAAGTGGCTTAGGAAAAACGGGACCCTGTAATTTTAATACAAACTCAAACATTATTTCAAAATATGTAGCTGACCTAATTTTATACTCTATTGTTTTTATGATTTGGACTTGCAATCTTCAATATTTGTAGTTTAGAGTATAATATTGGTAAGACAAAGTATCTGATATAAAATGTGACTAATTTAAAACCAATTATAAAATGTTTATAAAAAGAAATTTCAATTTGAGTATATACCATCCTATATATGAATTTAAAGGAAAAATATTTTTTTTGTAAAAATCGTATTGTACTTTTTTAAAATTAATAGATAGAAGTGTCATAAATTTGAATAACCTGTCCAGGATGCATTTCAACAGTCATTCCTAAAGCCTGTGGAATTACGAGGATGTCACTGAATATAATCGATGCATCAAGATGATCATATCGTCGCAAAGGTTGTAAGGTCACTTCGCATGCTAGTTCAGGAGTCCGACAGACGGTGAAGAAGTCATGCTTTGCACGGACTGCTTGAAATTCTGGCAAATATCTTCCGGCTTGTCGCATTACCCATACTGGCACTTTATCCACATCTTTTCCATTTGCAGCATCAAGCAGCCTCGAGTTTTTCAACGCCGGAAAGTTCTATAAGGAAAATATTAACCTTCTAATCTGTTGTTATTCAAAAAATATACGTAAAAATTAATTGCAACAAACATTAAATAACCTTGTTTGAATAGTCCATTTTATAAGCGCACCTTATCACTTGCAAATCAGGAATTAAACTTGAATCTCAATGAATAATTAATGTCTTATTAATTTTAAAATAAATTTGCACAACAGTCAACAATTAAAAAACAACAATTGACCAATATTATTATCTGTCATAACACTAACTAAACGTCAGTTGTCAGCTGTCACTGTCATTTTTAATTATTAGATTAGTAGTATTTTATTTAATTTATTACTGTCATATTATGTTATAACACGTATTATTTTAGTATTACTATACATATATTAATTGAAAATGTAGATTATCTATTCATGTACTGGTTATAGCAGCAGCACGGATCGCAAATCGTAATCGATGTCAGCAAATCACTGATTTTCTTAAATCTAAATTGATTTTAAATTATTCTAACGAGCCAAAAAAATATTTAAGAGAAACTATTTATAATTACAATTAGGGAATCCAGGATAACGTTATAATTGAAAAATGATGAAAATCAGTAAATAATACTTATTCTACGTATTTAAAACGTTATTTTTATTGCGCTTTCACAATACTTTTTTCGGTTTTATGCATTAAAAAATAATTTGATACATCGAAGAACATTTAAGTACCTAAGTATTAAAAAAAAACTTTCGTAATCCAATAGTGAAATAAAATATTAATAAGTCAAACAGAGATTGCGAGATTTTCTACCTGCTATCATTTTTTTTTTGAAATGTTTTACATTCAAATGAGAGGGGTTCAGCGCAGTGGTTTTTGTTCCGATCCAAGCAATATAGCGACCTATCATTGTATAGGTTTTTTTGGGAAACCTCCATTCCAGTATCCCAATAAACTTTATTCAACTGAGTGGAACAAGGTTGCAACTCTAAAGATGTTTTTGATTAAAAATTAAACGTATAGTAGAAACTTACACAAGTTTTCTCATATATTTTATTACGTTGTTAATTTTAAACTTTTTCTTTAGATTCATATGCTAAATCTTTTATACTTTCTAATAATCAAAACAATAATTTTTGCCCTCTTCTATAATGTACACACTTTGTAAGTATTTTACTAAAATCGCTTGTGATAAAAAACTCTTTACTCTCGTAAAAGTTACAATCGATGTGTAAAATGGCCGAGGGTCCTCTTATACATCACACAGGTGGTATTGTGAGTTGAACATTCTTATGTCGCAAAGAATAGACACCAAAATATTAAGGAAACATAACCTGCATTGGCGATATTGTTCCTTTTTGTCCAATGTTTCAAGTCAATATATACTATCTGAAATAATAATAGATTTCTTTTCTGATTTGGAAAGAGGAAAGAATACTTTAGATCAAGATCTTAAAAAGGACTGAATCAAGCTAGACCTAATAACAAGCGAAGACGAAGCCTAGAAGCAAAACGTTGATATAGAATAATAAATACAAAAAGTTTTGATACGAGTAATTCTTTTTTATCGAATTCGAAACGAGCTGTCGTTGCATATTTTGCGATTAGAGATTTTTTGCGGTTCGTGCGAAGCTCGATGGTCACAGTGGGGGTATGGGTTTATAAAAATATTATCATGTGAAATGAGATTAATCTTAATAAAAGAAATGTGCAAATCATCGTTCAGGTAGGAACATATCGAACTATTATGTAGAGGCTGAACTACTGGTATATGTATTGCTTTAAGGATGTCCTTTGGATCTGCCTCGTTGGTGCAGTCAAGTGAAGATAGCGAGATGCGGATCCTGTTACTGAAATGTTATTTCTCGAAATATCCAGGTACCAACACGAAATTGGAATTGGTATTAAAACGAAAGTGTACCTCTGTCAGCCCTTCAAGCCACTGTTCCCGGTTAGCGCCCAAAAGGGGCGCAACCGGGAACAGCGACAGCGACAGCCACACATTTGAGGCGGTAGTCGTAGTAGTGAAGCTCTTAAAATCCTCTTAATAACGATAAAACAAAAATAATTTTTGTGCAAAAACTAAATTTCTCGCTCGTTGACCTTTGGATCTTTACGTGAGATAATACAGTCTGGACCTGCGAACTATGAGTGGACCTTATCAGCTCAAACACGAACATTTGGCCGAACTTCCTTTATTTTGTCCGAATTCGCTTATAAAAATGTTTTACGATACAGAATATTTAAGTCCAAACTTCGTGTGGTTTTCGCGTTCATTGTGTTGGTAATTTTACAGTTACATTTTATAAGAAAATTTTGAATTAATCCTACCAAATGGAGTAGGTATATAAATGTGCTTTTATGTCTACTATGTAAAGCAATAACAGTTAAAACGATAAATTTTAACGTAACTATTTTATATAGAGCGATTTATAATATAAGCGAGCGGTAACGAGTAAAGCTAGAACAAAAATTTTGGCATGATTGGAGTCGCTTTTTAATATGGCCATAATTTACATTACACTTATCAAAAATGTATTAATTGTAATCGGGAAATTGAATAAATATATACAACAAAGGAAAAACAGTTAATAATTAATTAAATTCAACGGTCCTACGGTGCTACACAAAAGTGCTACGCAGCGCATTATACTCAATTTGCAATCGAAATAAAACTTTTTAATTTTCAATTAGGCATATTGTTATTCAAAAACAATAGACAATAAGTGTACGTGGTCTATAACGATCAAGTGCATCACCCTGAAGGGATTTTAATGAAGGTTACAATAGAAACGGAACACGAATTAAAGAGCCGCTCCAAGGTTTTCCCTGTCTCCTAGAGAGGAGGCCGTTGACTTAAGCATTGTAAATAGTTTCTTATCTTGGCTGCACTGCGTCGCTAAGTGCTGATTTGATGACTCGCTAGCCCCTATTATCTAACACCGGAATGATTTAGTTAAAGACGAGTTGCGCCTATTGTAAGCAATCGAGCAACGATGATTATAAGGATATTGAAGCTTTATTGTTATAACGTGAAAGTCAATTTCATAACTTAAACATAATGACGCACTAAGTCTATAAGTTTCCACTAGAATGTACCGTAATTAGTTTTGAGTTAGTTTTCTTAAAGTTATACCTTAATCTATAACGTTTTTTTATCTAAATATCAAATAAATCTTATGATAGTCTGACTCTATAACCACCTCTGTAGCCAAACGGTTAAACGTATTGCCTTAAGGTCCTGGTTTCAAATCCCAGGGAAACAAACAATTGTTTCGATCAGGCAGGGCACAGAAGTCTGATCCACTACTTGCCTGTTAAAGAACAGACTCAGAAATGAGTTACTGAACTGAGTGAATCCCGTTTCTATAGTCTGACTAATTTCGGGGGTAGAAACGCTTTCCAAACATAGACCTACTTCATACAGGTGTCTCGATTTTTCCATTTAGATTTGTCACTGAAGTAGGTACCTAAACTTTAACTTAATAAAACCCTTGGTAAAAAAAAATTTGTCGATGCCCCTTTTGTATTAGCTAATTTCAAAGTTTGAATTGAATTTAGTAGCCTGGTTTTAATCTATAGTCAGTGCAGTCTGAAAGAACAAAGACCAGTGAACCAGAAACATTACTACATTTGTTTCACGGATCTTATATCGAATCGTAAGATACTTAATTAAGCACTATATCTTCGGTGTTTACCTCAAACCAGCTTAAATTTGACAAAATAAAATTGTACTTAAATAAAAATGTCATATTCCGCTTTGTAACTGTAAGAAACAAAAACGTAGATTGCAGACAAGGCCTGTTTGGAGCCTACAGGCGGGTTCTTGTGTGGGCGACACGATGCGCAGGCGTGTATATTTTGTTTTTCTTTTTATTTTGTCCTTCCCTTGCTTTGCTTATGTACAATTATTTTATTTATCATTGAAATTGCACTTACATACACATTTTTATAAGGATATTTATGTACGTACTCTGTTTTAATGTTGGTAGTATTATGAAATGCAATTAAATTAGGTTTTTTTTCGTAAAAAATTGTCTTTGTGTACATACTTCAAAACCACCGGTATTATAATTTTATACATTTCGATTAAATACTGAACTAAGACAAGTTTTAATACCTAGGACCATCTAGGACTAAGTAAGAAGCGCATAATGCTTCCTAGGTTCCAGTTAGATTTGAACTATGAAATTTTGTTTAGATTAATGATAAAATATAACTACCTTATTCAGATGAGGGTATGAGTAACCTACCTATAAGTTTTTATAAAAATCTAAGCAAGTTTCGGCGTTGTTTCTTGTGCATACAAAGCACTAAATACACGACTCGTCGAAAAAACAACAATCAAATATCCTTTGCCTGACGTGGATCGCGTAAACTTAAGTGTATCGTAGCACACTACTCGTTTTTTGAAATGCAACCTATATTCTTATAAGAAGTGCTGTTGCATCGCTAGAAATCCGGTAGTGTTTAATAGACTCCGGAATTTGGGTTCGGGGTGAATACCCTCGTGTCGGTAAAAACTATTTTCAAGGTTAGCACGACGCAAGGAGGGGAGCGTCGCGTCGCGGGCTTTGTCACAGAGGAGCAGAGACACAGAGAACTGTGTTTATGGATATAAGTTTATCGGGAACTTCTTAGAAATTACAATAGATATCTTCTATTTTGAGTACTATTATTATAACAACTCAATTACGCCAATTGTGCCAGAGTTAAATAATTTATGTTATGGTCTTAATTTCATTTTTAATATTCGTCTTCAGAGACACGAAAATTCCGAATGTTCTTCTAATATGAACAGTCTATTTATTTACATTTCCTTTTTATATAAATAAGCACTGTGAATCATCTTTATGTGTAACGAATTATTTGTATTATTTTGTTTTCTAGAATAAGTCTCTATCCATCTTACTCTGTGTATATCTTCTCTGTACTTCGCGGGTTGTGAGGTGCAGGGCGAATTCGACGCGGGGCGGAGGAGGGGACCCGCGGACGCGCCGAAATGCTGATAGCTCCCCTCCCCACACGTCCCGTCCGCGCCCTCAACACTCTGTTGGCTTCATGCAACTCTATAGTCTATGTCACAAAATGATTCATGCACTATGCATTATCTGTGGCTGCCTGTTATTTAT